GGGCTCCAAAATCACTGCAGATGGTGATTGCAGCCATGAAATTAAAAGACGCTTACTCCTTGGAAGGAAAGTGATGACCAACCTAGATAGCATATTAAAAAGCAGAGACATTGCTTTGCCAACAAAGGTCCAGCTAGTCAAAGCTATGGTTTTTCCAGTAGTCATGTATGGATGTGTGATTTGGACTATAAAGAAAGCTGAGCACTGAAGATTTGATGCTTTTGACTGTGGTGTTGGAAAAGACTCTTCAGAGTCCCTTGCACTGCAAGGAGATCCAACCAGTCCATTCTAAAGGAAATCAGTCCTGAATATTCATTGGAAGGACTGATTCTGAAGCTGAAACTCCAATACTTTGGCCACCTGATGGGAAGAACTGACTCACTGGGAGAGACCCTGATGCTAGGAAAGGTTGAAGGCGGGAGGAGAAGGGGACGACAGAGGATGAGATTGTCCACTGACTCGATGGACATTAATTTGAGCAAGCTCCAGGAGTTAGTGATGGATAGGGAAGCCTGGCGTGTTGCAGGCCATGGGGTCACAAACAGTCAAACACGACTGAACGACTGAACTAAACTGAACAGAGGAATCTCCACACTGTTTTCCATAGTGGCTGCACCAACTTACATTCCCCCTGACAGTGTAGGAAGGTTCCCTTTTCTCCACACCCCTTCCAGCATTTGTAGACTTTTTAGTGATGGCCCTTCTGACCAGTGTAAGGTGATACCTCATTGTTTTGATTTGCATTTCTCTAATAATTAGTGATGTTGATCATCTTTTCATGGGTGTGTTGGGCATGGTTATTTCTTTTTTCCTTTCAAAAACTGCAAATGAGTAGGAGAAGTCTGGGAGAATCACCGTTAAGTTTGATTTCTCTGTTGCTGGTGAGTTTGTCTGAGGTTCTGACAGGGAGGAGATTGGACTCTAAGTAGGACCTGTCACTCTGAGCCGCTCTGGGTTCATTCTAGGGAGGCATTCATGCTTCAGTCATGTTTGATTCTTTGTAGCCCACAAGCCTCCTCTGTCCATGGGATTCTCTAGGCAAGAATACTAGAGTGGGTTGCCATTTCCTCCCCATGGAATCTTCTCGACCCAGGGATCAAACCCACATCTCCTGCATTGCCGGCAGGTTCTTTACCATTAGTGCCACCTTGGGAGGTGGCTATGGTCTATTGGCCACCTGTTTGTGCCCTCTGCCCTCCGTGGTATTGGATAACATTACAAAATGAAGATTCTTCTTTCCCGATTTTCTTCTCTCTGCAGACACTAGAGATGCATCTTAGTGTGTGTCAGGGTGTGTGTCTAGGAGTCCAAAAGAATGTGTCGTGGTCCCCACTGGGGTGACCAGCTCATCCTGGTTTTCACAGGAGCCTGCTGGTTTCACACTGGAAACTCTGCTTCTCAGAGGTCCTCTCAGCCCAGGCAGTGGGGAAGGTTGGTCCTCCAGCCCCAGCCGTAGAGTCAGAGGATGCTGTGTGAGGGATGGGCCTGGGAGCTAGCAGCTACTCCAGTCTACCAGTGTTTCCCGTACCTGGAGGCCAACTTGCAGTGCTGGGAAGGTCGCAGTGTGTCCAGTGGGTGGATGTGAACCTGAGTTAGTCCCATGGTTGATGGTTTGACTAGTTAGGAGGGTGGGGGAGAGGGCTAGGCTTAAGCTACTCAGTTTGCGTTGCTTATGTTTAAAATGTTCGCAGTCTTCCTAGAATCATTCTTGCTGGTGTTATTTAGTCACTGAGTCGTGTCTGACGCTTTGGTGGCCACATGGACTGTAGCCCTCCAGTCTCCTCTGTCCATGGGATTTTCCAGGCAAGAATACTGGAGAGGGTTTCCATGCCCTCCTCCAGAGGGATCTTCTCGGCCCAGGGACCAAACCTGGGTCTCTCGCATTGCAGGCAGATTCTTTACCACTGACCCACCAGGGAGTATAGAATACTGTTATCCAAATGGAATGTTCTTTCATGTAAAAGACACACAGCATATAGCTTCCTTAGCTCCCAGTCCCCCATCACTGATCCAAACCATGTCGTCCCTCCCTGCTGGCCAGGTGCCAGGTGCTGTATTTAGGGAAAGAAGGACGAGTCAAGCTTCCCCCTCCTTCTCTGTGAGTGGGAGACTGAAGCAGATTCGTGTTCCTGGCGGCCCCAGGGGGCTGACTTCTGCCCGGGGCACCTGAGCCTGGCCGTCCCCAAGAATGTGACAGGCTGAGCCTAGAAGGAAGGGTGCCCATGGCCTGGCGCGGCCATCAAAACAGCAGGCCGTGGTTTGCTCCCCTGAGAAGCTCAACACAGCTGCCTGGGTTCTCTGTAAAGACTGTCTCTGTCTTGCTCGGTTACCTGGAACCAGGGCTGAGCAAGGGAGGGAAGGCTGCCCCCTCGTGGTAACTCGTAAGATGGCTTCAGACTTTGGAGGAAAGGTCACTGCTTGGCACATGGCCTCCCCTATGCTCATCGGGGGGTGGGAGGACTTCTTTCCTGTTTGCTTTCAGATGTAGCACTTTGCTGCTTGAACCTCAGGCTCCTTGTAGGGCTCGTCTGAGTGTCTGCTTCATGCCCTGATGCTCTGTTGTTCTTCAGTCACTTAGTTGTGTCTGACTCTTTGTGACCCCACGGACTGCAGCACGCCAGGCTTCCCTGTCCGTCACCATCTTATTCTCTGTCTCCCCCTTCTCCTCCTGCCCTCAATCCTTCCCAGCATCAGGGTCAGGTGGCTGCACAGTGCATCATCAGAGAATGACCTGATGATCCTTAGAAAACATCCACTCTCAAGGGGAGCATGTCTTCTCTTGGCATCCAGTGCCGCCCAGCCAGAGACCACCAGGACACACCTTGTCTTAGAACCATGGGTGTCTCAGTGGGAGGGTGTTAGAAGGGACTTATAAAGGGATGTGGGCTTGTATTGAGTCATTTGGGGAAGGTTCCAGGAAGCTAGGCTTGGCCACAGATTGGATGCTCTCCAGAAATGAGGGTGATTCTATAGTTGGTACCTTAATGCTTTTTTGTCAGAAGGTGAGTGTCATGAAGCCAGGCTACTGCTGGGATTGGCAAAGAAGCACAGTCACTCGTGCCAGCCAGCAGAGGGGGCTGTTGGTCACTTGAGGTTTGGGCCAGGTTCATGGGATGAATTCAACTCAGGAAGAAATTTAGTTCAGTTCAAATGGCAACCCACTCCAGTATTCTTGCCTAGAGAATCCCGTGGACAGGGGAGCCTGGTGGGCTGCTGTTCACGGGGTCACACAGAGTCGGACACGACTGAAGCAACTTAGCATAGCATGCATGGGATAAATTACAAGCTGGAATCAAGAATGCAGGGACAGATCTGAAAGAGACACGTGCACCCCAATGTTCATCACAGCACTGTTTATAATAGCCAGGACATGGAAGCAACCTAGTTGCCCATCAGCAGACGAGTGGATAAGGAAGCTGTGGTACATACACACCATGGAATATTACTCAGCCATTAAAAAGAATTCATTTGAATCAGTTCTAATGAGATGGATGAAACTGGAGCCCATTATATACAGAGTGAAGTAAGCCAGAAAGATAAAGACCAATACAGTATACTAACGCATATATATGGAATTTAGAAAGATGGTAACGATAACCCTATATGCAAAACAGAAAAAGAGACTCAGATGTATGGAACAGACTTGTGGACTCTG